TATATCTATGTTGGAAGTTTGGCTATATCTATGTTGGAAGCTTGGCTATATCTATGTTGGAAGTTTGGCTATCTCTATGTTGGAAGTTTGGCTATATCTATGTTGGAAAATTATCGATATCTATGTTGTAAGTTTGGCTATATATATGTTGGATGCTTGGCTATATTTATGTTGGAAGTTTGGCTATATCTATGTTGGAAGTTTGGCTATATCTATGTTGGAAGTATAATTATATCTATGTTGGAATTTTTGCTATATCTATGTTGTAAGTTTAGAGATATCTATGTTGAAAGTGTGGCTATATCTATGTTGGAAGGTTGGTTATATCTATGTTGGAAGTTTGGCTATATCTATGTTGAAAGCTTGGCTATATCTATGTTGGAAGTTTGGCTATATCTATGTTGAAAGCTTGGCTATATCTATGTTGGAAGTTTGGCTATATCTATGTTGAAAGTTTAGCAATATCTATGTTGGAAGTTTGGCTATATCTATGTTGGAAGCTTGGCTATATCTATGTTGAAAGCTTGGCTATATCTATGTTGGAAGTTTGGCTATATCTATCTTGGAAGTTTGGCTATATTTATGTTGGAAGTTTGGCTATATCTATGTTGGAAGTTTGGCTATATTTATGTTGGAAGTTTATCGATATCTATGTTTGAAGCTTGGCTATATCTATGTTGGAAGGTTGGTTATATCTATGTTGGAAGTTTGGCTATATCTATGTTGATAGTTTGGCTATATCTATGTTTGAAGTTTGGCTATATCTATGTTGGAAGTTTAGCGATATCTATGTTGGAAGCTTGGCTATATCTATGTTGGAGGTTTGGCTATATCTATGTTGGGAGTTTGGCTATATATATGTTGGAAGTTTGGCTATATCTATGTTTGAAGTTTGGCTATATCTATGTTGGAAGCTTGGCTATATCTATCTTGGAAGCTGGCTATATCTATGTTGGAAGTTTGGCTATATCTATCTTGGAAGCTTGGCTATATCTATGTTGAAACCTTGGCTATATCTATGTTGGAAGTTTGGCTATATCTATGTTGGAAGTTTGGCTATATCTATGTTGAAAGTTTGGCTATATCTATGTTGGAAATTTAATTATATCTATGTTGGAAGTTTGGCTATCTCTATGTTGGAAGTTTGGCTATCTCTATGTTGGAAGTTTGGCTATATCTATGTTGAAAAATTATCGATATCTATGTTGGAAGTTTGGCTATATCTATGTTGGATGCTTGGCTATATTTATGTTGGAAGTTTGGCTATATCTATGTTGGAAGTTTGGCTATATCTATGTTGGAAGTTTGGTTATTTTTGTAAAATTGTTGTTTCTGTCAAAAGTAAGCAACCTTTCTGTCGGAACTTCGGCTGTATTTGAAAGTTGTTGGTTATGTCAGCAGTTTGATAACATGAAGAATGTGGTTGTGCCGAAAGTCTGTCAACAGTTTGTTGGTGGTGCCGGATATCGGGCTTCATTTTGTTGGTGGTGCCGGATGTCGGGCTACATTTTGAATTGGTGTAACCGAAGATTGGGTTTCCTTTTGAATTCAGTAGATGTTACTAACCGTGTTGAAGTATTTTGGTGATGTCGGAAATCTGACGACAGTGTTGGATTTTGTTGGTGGTGTCGGACTTTTGTCTACACTTTGGGATTTGTTGGTGGTGTTGGAAGTCTGGTGACAGTGTTGAAGTTTATTGGTGGTGTCGGAAGTCTGACGACAGTGTTAAAGTTTGTTGGTGGTGTCGGAAGTCTGACGACAGTATTGAAGTTTATTGGTGGTTTCGGAAGTCTGACGACAGTGTTAAAGTTTGTTGGTGGTGTCGGAAGTCTGACGACAGTGTTAAAGTTTGTTGGTGGTGTCGGAAGTCTGGCGACAGTGTTGAAGTTTTTTGGTGGTGTCGGAAGTCTGGCGACAGTGTTGAAGTTTGTTAGTTATACCGGAAGTCTGACGACAGTGTTAAAGTTTGTTGGTGGTGTCAGAGCTGGCGACAGTGTTGAAGTTTGTTTGTGGTGCCGGAAGTCTGACGACAGTGTTAAAGTGTGTTGGTGGTGTCGGAAGTCTGGTGACAGAGTTGAAGTTTGTTGGTGGTGTCGGAAGTCTGGCGACAGTGTTAAAGTTTGTTGGTGGTATCGAAAGTCTGACGACAGAGTTGAGGTTTGTTGGTGGTGTTGGAATTTTGTTGACAATTTGAGATTTGTTGGTGGTGTCGGAAGTCTGGTGACAGTGTTGAAGTTTGTTGGTGGTGCCAGAATTCCGACTACGCTTTGAGGTTTATTGCTGGTGTTGGAAGTCTGACGACAGTGTTGAAGTTTGTTGGTGGTGCCAGAATTCCGACTATGCTTTGAGGTTTGTTGGTGGTGTATGAAGTCTGTGACTACAGTGTTGAAGTTTGTTGTTGGTGCCAGAATTCCGACTAGGCTTTGAGGTTTGTTGGTGGTGTCGGAAGTCTGTGACTACAGTGTTGAAGTTTGTTGTTGTTGCCAGAATTCCGACTAGGCTTTGAAAGTATTTGGTGGTGTCGGAAGTCAGGCCACAGTAATGAATATCTGTATTTTGGTGGTAGTCACAAGGGCGATAACATTTGTTTTAGCTTCTCATGATTTTGATTTGCTGGGTGTAGTTTGTTCGGGTGGCAACATTGCAGAATAGTTGGGATAGATTGTACTTGTCCTGGAATGCCTGAGGCAGAGAGACTATCCGGGATACACCGCGTGAGTATGGATTGTTTGGCCACCAATGTACCCAGAGCTTGTACATGGCCTCCAAATCAATGTAGATTTACAGAAGTCGAATAGCTGTTTTTATATAATGTTTACATTAATCTTAAGGTTCTTTCCGTCCTGTTTGATATTTGTAATAAGTAAATGACTGAGAGCGGATTTCTACTATTGGCTATGGTATGTCAACGTCTCCTCAGCTTACAGCTCTCGCGGAACACATCATTGTCCCGCTATCAGATGGAAATATTGGTTCTTTAATCCTGCTGTTTACGTTTGTTATTGTAAATAGGTAACCATGTCTAAATTGACAAAAAAATCGATGAAGTTTGAAAAAAAAACATGTACATGTATTGGATTACCTGGTATTAGGGCAAGCTGTCTGTCAAGTATAGGCGATTGCTCGAGTGAGTGAGGCTAAATAAACATAAATACATTTGTTGACGTATTCAATAATCTTTAAAAAAGGCCAATCGAACTAGGTATACTGAAGCTGGTGTTTTATAACAAATACAGATGGTCGCCCGGTATATAATTGCGGACTCACTGAGACCGAACGTGTTTCTATTACCGGCTCGTGGCGTGAACCCAATGGGCCATCGTTATTTAAAAGGACTTTTATACACGTAAACTCCTATCGATGTTCAGTGTGGAAATGCACATCGATGACTTCAGTGATGTGCATTTCACGGTAATCAATTAGTGTTTTGTATATATTAATAAGTGAGGCGGTATACTAGAGGATATATGGGACGGCTAGGCCATACACGGGCACCTGGCTAGTACTAAGTATTATCTAACGTACAGAAGGAAGTTCTCATCCCGATAAGGTATGTGGTTATAACTTCGTTGTGTTGCTCACGTAAGACGTATGGTATGTCTTAAAATTATTTTATAGATATTTTCATTTATATACATTTGTTTTAATTTATTTCAATTTCAACACGTATACTGTTGTAATTTATTCCGAGAGAAATTTGAATGATGATTAGTTTGTATTAATGCAATGGTCGGTCGGTGATATACTTGTAGTGTAAAGTCGGTGGGGTACTTGCTTTGGTAGCTAGGTGTTGTATTGGTATATTGATGTGGTATAATCTTTGTAGATTGGTATGGTATTAATATTGGTAGCTAGGTTTTGTATTGGTATATTGATGTGGTATAACTTTGGTAGATTGGTATGGTATAATCTTGGTAGATAGGTGTTGTATTGGTATATTGATGTGGTATAATCTTTGTAGATTGGTATGGTATTAATATTGGTAGCTAGGGTTTGTATTGGTATATTGATGTGGTATAATCTTGGGAGATTGGTATGGTATCAATATTGGTAGATAGGTTTTGTATAGGTATATTGATGTGGTATAATCTTGGTAGATTGGGATGGTATCAATATTGGTAGATAGGTTTTGTATTGGTATATTGATGTGGTATAAGCTTGGTAGATTGGTATGGTATCAATATTGGTAGCTAGGTTTTGCATTGGTATATTGATGTGGTATAATCTTGGTAGATTGGTATGGTATCAATATTGGTAGATAGGTTGTGTATTGGTATATTGATGTGGTATAATCTTGGTAGATTGGTATGGTATTAATATTGGTAGCTAGGTTTTGTATTGGTATATTGATGTGGTATAACTTTGGTAGATTGGTATGGTATAATCTTGGTAGATAGGTGTTGTATTGGTATATTGATGTGGTATAATCTTGGTAGATTGGTATGGTATAATCTTTGTAGATAGGTGTTGTATTGGTATATTGATGTGGTATAATCTTGGTAGATAGGTATGGTATAATCTTGGTAGATAGGTGTTGTATTGGTATATTGATGTGGTATAACCTTGGTAGATCGGTATGGTATAATCTTGGTAGATAGGTTGTGTATCAGAATGTGTAGGTAAGTGTGGTTTTAGTATCTATGGTCGGTTTGTGGTGGTTTAATTATTGTGGATTTGTTTGATTTTAAAATTGGAAGATTGGTTTGGTATTGTTCTTGGTAGATTGAAATTGGTTTGGTATTAGTCTTGGTAGATCGTTTTGGTATTAGTCTTGACAGATGTGTATGGTATTTATGTTGGTAGTATATTTTGCATTATTCTTGATATATTAGTTTGGTGTAATTTTGGTACATTGGTTTGGTATAAGTCTTGGTAGGTTGGTGCGGTTTTAATATTTGTAGATTGGTTTGGTTTTATGTTGATAGAGTGTTTTGTGTTAGTCTTGGCAGATTGGTTTGGTATTTATGTTGGTACATTGTTAAGTATTTATGTTGGTATTTTGGTTTTGGTATCTATGTTGGTAAATTGGTTAGGAATTGTTGTTGGTAGATTAGTTTTGGTATTTTTGTTGGTAGAGTGTTTTGTGCTAGTCTTGGTAGATTGATTTGGTAGTTATGTTTGAAGAGTGTAAAGTATTAATCTTGGTAGATTGGTTTTGGTATTTATGTTGGTAGATTGGTTTGGTATTTATGTTGATAGATTGATTTGGTATTTATGTTGGTAGAGTGTTTTGTGTTAGTCTTGGTAGATTGATTTGGTATTTATGTTGGTAGATTGGTTTGGTATTTATGTTGGTAGATTGGTTTGGTATTTATGTTGATAGATTGATTTGGTATTTATGTTGGTAGATTGATTTGGTATTTATGTTGGTAGATTGGTTTGGTATTTATGTTGGTAGATTGTTAAGTATTTATGTTGATAGTTTGGTTTGGTATTTATGTTGGTAGAGTGTTTTGTGTTAGTCTTGGTAGATTGATTTGGTATTTATGTTGGTAGATTGTTAAGTATGTATGTTAGTAGATTGTTAAGTATTTATGTTGGTAGTTTGGTTTGGTATTTATGTTGGTAGAGTGTTTTGTGTTAGTCTTGGTAGATTGGTTTGGTATCTATGTTGGTAGATTGTTAAGTATTAATCTTAGTCGATTGGTTTGGAATTTATGTTGGTAAATTGGTTTTGAAGTTATGTTGGTAGATTGGTATTGGTATTTATGTTGGTAGAGTGGCTTGAAATTTAGCGTTGAAAGAATGGTGTTGTAAAAGAATAAGTATATATTGTGGTATTCGTATTTGTAGTTATGCGTTGTATTATTATTGGTAGATTTGTGGGTTTGTTTAATAAGTTAATTCGTATTGCGTATGTGTACATATATATTGGTTTGTGGCATTTGATGTTATAGACTTTCGTTAGTAACACGTGCTACATTCTGTGCGTGTGTGTTATATTTACTGACGTGTGTACAATAAGCGATATCAGAGGTCCATCCACAGGCAATCGGTCTGATCAATGACCTACTGGACACTCAGTGTTTACGTATTATTATGAATTCCGCAATTAACCAACAGAATGATAGATTGATTATTTGAACTGACATCAGTTGTTTGTTCGTACCCACTATAGTCACATTGCCTGTGGTACCGTTATCAGTGTGTTCACTGTTTGTGTTGTATATCTATTATAACGGTGTGAGTCCTGATTTTGACGAAAAGAAATTGATAGTCGTGTATTAATGTAACGGTGAATCATAGCAAATATAAATATTTTCAGTAGTGATGAAAAAACGATACATAAACAGGCTGGGTCAGTGTATACTGAATGGGTCAGCGATATACTGTTTGGGTCAGTGATACACAGGCTGGGTCAGTGATACACTGACTTGGGCAGCGTTATACTGAATGGGTCAATGATACACAGGCTGGGTCAGTGATACACTGGCTGGGTCAGTGATACACAGACTTGGGCAGCGATATACTGAATGGGTCAATGATACACTTATTGGGTTGTTTTTCAGTGCTGTTTGTATTCTCAGGGCGAAAAAATAACTTTAGAAGTAACTTTATCTTTATTTTTACCTTATCACTGAAGGAGAGCTTTTTATTCCGGTTCTGGTCAGTAATCAGCATCTTTTATATCTCTTGGATATCACGCCGACTGTGTTCTTCCTTAAGAGCCTCTCGAATAACAAATAATTTCTTCTTAGAACTATTAACATCTAAAACAATATGTAAATGGTCCGGATTATTAAATGATCACCTTCAAATAATATACACATCAATCATATTTCTACACATAGCTCACACAATTATACACAGACTATACATTTGTGCTATAGTTAAAAGGAGGCCAGTAAAGGAGACATGCACGAACACTTGTGAACATTCTATAAAAACATAATTTTCTGGTTCTAATATTCGATACGGTTATTCTTTTAATCTTTTCTTCGTTTTATCAAAGTTTAAACTTCACATTATTTTTGTTCAGTCCGTTTACTCCTCATGATAGTAAGATATATATTTGAACTAAACAAATAACAAATACGACGTAAGGGGTGATTTTTATTTATTTGACACTGACAATCATTCGATATCCTAGCTCGTAAGTTTTTTAGAACATAAATGTATGATTTAGAGTGTACAATCTCTTAAAATTCTTCAGCTATTTGACGGTAAATCTACATATCGAAAACCGAGGTATATGAGATAGTGAAGTGGGGTAGGATGAAAAATAGAAAAAAAATGTAAACGATATCTGTGGTTGTTAGCTGTAAGAGTATACTATAATATACAGATCGTGTTAACTTGCGACGAGATATGTAGGTTGTGATGAAAAAGATCACAAACGCGAGATTAAATTACGGTTTGGAAATCGTTTCAAAACTTGCTCCTTTAGATAAATTTCCTATTTAATACAATATTAAAGAGATTTTCTGATATCAAACGTTGTTTTCCTTTCTGCTATAATAGTTTTTCATTATACATCTATAATTGCTTTGCCCGAGCCTATAATACGTATATATGTCTCATCGCTGTCCTGTAAAAATACATAGGATTTTAATCTATACAACGACATAAAATGTATTCTGCGGTGTACAAAAGACACCCGAGTGGGATTTCACTTACCATAACTTTCACAGTAGCACGTACATTAACAGAACAAACACCTGTCAGAAAAGTATTTGTGTTGGCTTTCACGTGGCACAAAGACAAATAAATTGCTTTTATATTGCATATAGAAATTAGCCTGTAATTCCTGAATGCTATATATTAACATGTCGTGTTGATTGAAATCAGGTCCTAATTCCGTATAATGGTAGCGTGATCCTTCGCTTGAGGAGACAAACAGGTCGTGGAAGTGACGGTAGGGGTTGGGAATCCACGAGGAGATTTAGTACGTAACATAAACAGAGCGGGAGGACAGAGAAAGGGGAGGAGGGGAGGAGGGGAGGGAGAGGGTAGAAAATTTAGCGGAGAGGTAGTGGGGGTGGGTGCGTCACATTATATATAAATACAGTAGCTAAACCCATGCGCAAGGCTTTTAATCAACAACTAACATATAAAGGCACCTAACGTCAAAGGTCTGTACCCACGGCTGACGTGTTAAGGTTGTACCCACGGCTGACGTGTTAAGTCTGAACCTACGGCTGACGTTTTAAGGTTGCACCCACGGCTGACGTGTTAAGCCTGTACCCACGGCTGACGTTTTAAGGTTGTGCCCACGGCTGATGTGTTAAGTCTGTACCCACGGCTGACGTATTAAGTGTGTACCCACGGCTGACGTGGTAAGTCTGTACCCGCGGCTGACGTGTTAAGTATGTACCCACGGCTGACGTGTTAAGGTTGTACTCACGGCTGACGTGTTAAGTCTGTACCCACGGCTGACGTTTTAAGGTTGTGCCCACGGCTGACGTGTTAAGTCTGTACCCACGGCTGACGTTTTAAGGTTGTGCCCACGGCTGACGTGTTAAGTCTGTACCCACGGCTGACGTGGTAAGGTTGTATCCACGGCTGACGTGTTAAGGTTGCACCCACGGTTGACATTTTAAGGTTATACCCACGGCTGACGTGTTAAGTCTGTACCCACGGCTGACGTGTTAAGGTTATATCCACGGCTGACGTGTTAAGGTTGTACCCACGGCTGACGTGTTAAGGTTATATCCACGGCTGACGTGTTAAGTCTGTATCCACGGCTGACGTGTTAAGGTTGTACCCACGGCTGACGTGGTAAGGTTATACCCACGGCTGACGTGTTAAGTCTGTACCCACGGCTGACGTGGTAAGGTTGTACCCACGGCTGACGTGTTAATGTTGTACCCACGGCTGATGTGTTAAGATTGTACCCAAGGCTGACGTGTTAAGGTTGTATCCACGGCTGACGTGTTAATGTTGTACCCACGACTGACGTGGTAAGGTTATACCCACGGCTGATGTGTTAAGATTGTACCCAAGGCTGACGTGTTAAGGTTGTACCCACGGTTGACGTGTTAAGGTTGTACCCACGGCTGACGTGTTAAGGTTATACCCACGGCTGACGTGTTAAGGTTGTACCCACGGCTGCCGTGTTAAGTCTGTACCCACGGCTGACGTGTTAAGGTTGTACCCCCGCCTGACGTGTTAAGGTTGAACCCACCGCTGACGGGTTAAGTCTGTACCACATCTAACGTGTAGGTTGGACCACACTTAACGTGTTAAGTCTGTACCCACGGCTGACGTGTTAAGGTTGCACCCACGGCTGACGTGTTAAGTCTGTACCAACGGCTGACGTGTTAAGTCTGTACCCACGGCTGACGTGTTAAGTCTGTACCAACGGCTGACGTGTTAAGGCTGTACCCACGGCTGACGTTTTAAGATTGTACCCACGGCTGACGTGTTAAGGCTGTACCAACGGCTGACGTGTTAAGTCTGCACCCACGGCTGACGTGTTAAGGTTGTACCCTCTGCTGACGTGTTAAGTCTGAACCTACGGCTGACGTTTTAAGGTTGTACCCACGGCTGACGTGTTAAGTCTGTACCCACGGCTGACGTGTTAAGGTTGTACCACACCTGACGTGTTAAGGTTGAACCACACCTAATGTGTCAAGTCTGCACCCACACCTAACGTGTTAAGTCCGTACAATACTTAACGTGTTAAGTCTGTACCACATCTCACGTTTTAAGTTTGTACCACACTTAACATGTTAGTCTGTACCACATCTAACGTCTAAGTTGGACCACACTTAACGTGTTAAGTCTGTATCCGCATCTAACGTGTTAAGTATGTACCACACCTAACGTGTAAGTTTGTACCACACTTTACATGTTAGTCTGTACCACATCTAACGTGTAAGTTAGACCACACTTAACGTGTTAAGGCTGTAACACACCTGACGTGTTAAGCCTGTAACTTCATCTAACGGGTAAAGTCTGTACCTAACCAAACGTGTAAGTTGGACCACACTTAACGCGTTAAGTCTGTATCCACATCTTACGTGTTAAGTATGTACGACACCTAACGTGTAAGTCTGTACCACATCTACCGTGTAAGCTGGACCCCATTTAACCTGTTAAGTATGTATCCACATCTAACGTGCCCCCTATGTACCACACCTAACGTGTAAGTTTGACCACACCTAACGTGTAAGTTTGACCACACCTAACGTGTTAAGTCTGTATCCACATCTAACGTGTTAAGTCTGTACCACACCTGACGTGTTAAGTCTGTAACTTCATCTAACGTGTAAAGTCTGTACCTAACCTAACGTGTAAGTTGGACCACACCTAACGTGTTAAGTCTATACCACACCTAACGTGTTAAGCCTGTACCACACCTAACGTGTTAAGTCTGTACCACACCTGACGTGTTTAGTCTGTACCACACCTAACTTGCTAAGTATATATCTACAACTGACACCTCAGTCAGTATCTGACAGTGTACGATGTATCGACAGTACAGGTACATTATAAGGAACACTTTAGGATGACGGTAAATCAGAACTCGGGAATGTTGTAACCTGACCACTTAACAATCCAGTTCCCTTCTTTCGATCTTACACTAAGCTGTGTATTGGCTTGAAACTTCTCCAGTCTTTATAACACAATACGTGCGATAATGAGATACAAATGCATTGAATTGCCTTTATAATGTTAACAGAGAGAATATCTCATACTCAGCTGATCAGAAATAAGTTCATTTAAAGCT